TAGTTAAATATATAATATATTATTACATACTACTTTCACTTTTCCATACAGTTAGTGCATTTTTCTGCCTTGTTTAAAATTTTGTGTAACATAGTAACAGAGTATCTATGAATTTTTTGTAGGCAACGTATTCTTTATTTTTTATAACATTTATATTTTTTATAACATATTCTTTATATTTCAAAAGAAAAAGGAGGCTGTAGGAAAGTTTCAATTTGGTAAAGGACAGGGAAGCCTGGCGTGCTGCAGTCCAAGGGGTCACAAAGAGTCGAACACAACTGAGCAACTGAACAACAACATCAAATTAATATGCTCTAAATTACTTATTAAATTGCATATTTATATAGTTTTAAATTACATAAAAGACATCAAATAAACAACTAGAAAACAGAAAAGAGTACCAGTTCTAGTAGTGTGGCAGACTGGATACTATAAATGTCTGTAATTGAAATACTGAAAACATTGGGAAACATGCCTTTTTAAATGGATCACAAACCGGGAATGAATGTGAGTGAAACCAAGAACATGGAAAGTAAGGGAGGAAAAGAAGCTGAATTCTGTTACAGATTTTAACTTTCCATCTGATGACTATACAGGGAACAGAAGAAAGGAGGAATCTAGGGCCACCAAAAAGGAGGAAAATATGGGACGATACCTCTAAAATAAACAAGGGACTAAAAAGGGCTATATCCATCATGTAAGAGCATTCACTACAGAGAAAAGAAAAATACCTATCTTGAACTTGATACTGAGAGGTAGGAAGAATTTTTAAATGACTCCTTTGAGAATTAGCAACCACAGGCTAACCATGACCAGGGTTTCTGGTCAAAATTAACACTTAATGGTGCACTCTATAAAACCTCAAGAAGAGAATTCCATTTAAAATGGTCCCAGAGGCCGTACCACCTGAACCCACCAATCAATCTTAACACCATTTGTTGTAGGACAACAAAATATTAGGATGTGTATCTCCTGATGTAATACTCTCACAGCATCACCTATGAAGTATTCAAATCAATCTTATCGGTCAGTACCGATGTGTAACATGCCACCCCAAACTTAGTGGCCTAAAGACAGCAGCATGCATTAGTCTCACAGAATCTGTGGGTGAGTAATCTGGACAGAGTCCAAAAGGGAAGGTCTATTTTCATCATAATGGCTCTACCCCTCAGCTGGAAGACAGCTGATGGTCACCAGACAGCCTAGGGCTGGAACCACTGGAGGCTCTTTCTCTCAAAGGGAGGGTCATGGACCCCTCCACTAAACAGAAGCAGGACCTAAATGCTGAGGACATGATTTATAATAATCACAAATAAAAATGTTTAACTTCAAGCCTGTGGATCTAACTTGCAATCTACAGGAAATAGAAGGGCTGGATGAACAAATTAAGCCACATCAAGGGAAAACATACAGACAAAGCCATTTCATAGGAAAACCAACTCAAGTTTTTTTTTAACACACCAAGGGGATGAATGGGAGTAGGGTAAGACAGAACTGATCCAGATAAAACGATGTAAGGATCAAATCAATGTATTAACAGTTGTTTGAATCTGGCTCGAAATGAATGAACTTTAAAGGCATTCTGATGATAACTGGGGATATCTGAATATGGCTAGGCTAGTACATGCAGGAATTTATGCTGGCATGTGAGTGTTCATTCTATCATTGTTTATCAGTCTACTAAGATCTCTTTATATAATAAAACTTTAGAAAATAAAATATGAAATATGATTCCTAATGACTAGTGTCCACAAGCAACTGGCAAAAGCATACACCAATCCTTCTGAGGGAATAAAACAGGAACCCAGGTCTCAATAAAACAGTCTTTAAAAAATGAATGAAGGGAAGTAAGAAAACTCTTAGAACTAAAAGAGAATAAAAATAACGCATATCAAAATTTGAGAGACTTAAGCAAAGGAATACTTAAGAGGAAAATTTTTAGTCTTCTGTTTGGCTTCATCAGATAAAAAGTAAGACAGAGTCAAAGTAAAGCACAGAATTTAACTAAACTCATAAAAAAGAGACTATGTAAAAATTCAGAAAATTCTTAAAAATCATGCTACTGGGACATGTATAGGTACTCTCATACATCAATGGTTGGAGTATAAATTGGTACAACCCTTGAGAGGAACAATCTAGCAAAATTACAACCACATGTACCCACTGACACAGCCAGGAACTTATCTGACAGATACACTTGAACTTTTACGAACTGACACAAACACAAACCATCATGGCAGAGTTGTCTGAACTGAAAGTAACTAAAAATAACCTAAATGCCCACTGAAAGGGAACCGGTTAAATATATTATGAAATGTCCATAAAATGAATGAAGCTATAAAAAGGAATGAAGGATGACTTATTTTTTTTGTCATATATTTATTTAAGTGGGTGGGGAAGGGGAGTGATAAAGAACAGAAGAATGTTTATAGTATATTACGGTGTACCAACATTTGTGTGAAAATAGAGCTAACAATTAAAATATGGTATTTTGCTTCTTGGTAAGAAACTAAAGAAACATAATAAAGTGGTTATCTAGCAAAGGCTGAGCTTGCTGGTGAGCTAGGCAAGAGGAACTGTGGTGGGAGACTCGGATCTGTATCATTTCCTTGTACTTTTTAATTTTTTACATATGGGAATGTATTGATTATTCAAAACATTACACATTATAAAATGTTAAAGAAACAAAGGTAGGTATCTTAATGGAACTCTAAAATTAACTTTTACATCATTCACATTAACAAAAGACACAAAGTAATACTTTCTGATGATCTCCTAGTTCAAAAATCAGCAGACTACCATGCTGTGTCTAGAAAGAAAAGGAGAGTCTACAGGAAGGAATGCTCTGTCTGCCATGAAACATCGGCTTCTTACATCAAAACAGTTGAGTTTCTTTGTTTTTTAAATGTGAACTCAGTATTAAAAATTCTTACTAAAAGTTAGATTGATTTTAAAGATATTCTAGTGGTTATTTTTACTTTGTTTTGGGATAGATTGGGGGGGGCTGTTATTCTAGTTTTGGAGGTACTAACTATATGGAAAATGCTAGATGTCATTTCCGAGATAAACTTCCCCAATCTATATAAATATCTAAGTCCTTAAAAGTCAGAACTGTTCCTGTATAACCAGACCCTCTGATTAGGATCCCTAAATATCTGATTTCCACTTCTTTATCCCAAAAGTCTATAGAAACTTAAAAAATATTTAGACATTTTATAGTGAAAACAAGAAAAAAATTCCAATATACTTTGGGAAAATTGACTTTCCTCAGAATATACAAAAAAAAAAAAAGACAGTATTTACATCGAGTCATTTTTATACAGTACTTCCTGACATATAGTTTATTGTATTCAAGTCAATAAAACAATGGTAGTATCGCTCAAAGCATAAAATAGACCTAAACTAAGCACATCTGAATAGTACTCATTAAAATAAGATTTTACCTGTAGTATGCTTTAAATATTTAAATATAAAGGGTATTACATAACTAACTGCCATGTGTAAGAGGTCATCCGTGAATGCTTCATGAAGGAAATAAATTTTGAATTTGGTCTTGAAGGAAATGGCAGGCACTCAGAATCCTTAACCAAATTGGTTTTACAATCAGATTCATTTTAGCACACTGAAGTAAAATGAGTAATGCAATATCTCTGTTGAGTCCTTCTTAAACTTTGATAACATGACAAAACATTTTGTCTACAGAGAAGTTCACTAAGGCTCTGAAAGCCCATGAAAAAAATCTTTAACCTTATATATTATAAACCCAGATACCAGTCTGTCACTTAAAAAGAAATGGTATTATAAGGTTATTTAATTTTCCTGATTTTAATTAAAGAACAGACTAAATAACTTTGAAATAATGTACATTCCTACATCTATAAATTGCTTTAAATTTTGCAAACACATATGCAAAACACAAGATTCTATAGCATCTTCAATCTTAGCTGTTACACTGTTTTGTTTAAAGCTATAAACTCTTTCTGGAACTCTTAAACAAAAATCACATGGAAAAAGCCTACAAAGAATCTAATAAAACACTTAAGAAATTGGCCAAACTTGTTAAAATTAAGCTTCATATATTTATATACTTTGCCTAGCATCAGCAGTCACTCCAAGCTGTCTAGGAATCATTTTGAAGACTGAACAGTCAATGTTGCTGTCTTCCCCTATCTTTACCACTCCCACCCACCAAAAAAAAAAAAAAAAAAGGAAGAGAGGAAAATGCAAAATGCAAAGTTACAATTTGATGCTTATGACTGAAAGTGCTATGAAAGTTCTATTTGAATTCAGGGTACAGGTCCTGAGTTCATGATGCCTTTTAATATCTTCGGTGACAATCTCTAAAACAAGATGAAACTGAATCACTGTACCCAAAGCACATGTACTTTTTTTCAACACATCATGTAAGCTGAAATATGTAGCCCAATAACCTCAAAGAGTATTTAATGAGGCTAATTTAAACTAGAAACTGTTTAACATACTCAAAAGTACACGATTCCCTTTAGTATTTTAATATATTGTAGTTGAAGTGACTATCTGCTTATAAGCTAGTTTAGGAAGAATAATACTGCCAAAGGCAACAATGTTTTGATGCAGTAGCACGTACCATTAAAACAAATCAAAAGAAAGCTCAAGATAAAAACACCATGTATATGCCAACTAGCAAGATTAAATGATCAATAAAACCATTTTCCTGAAAGTGACAGAGCACTTTCTTGAAAGATTCGGAATACACATGACAAAGAACATGAAATGACTGACATTTTCTGCTGTCACTAACCGGTACTGTAAGAAGCTATTAAGCTAGTCCTTCTTCCCACCCTTCAATCTCAACCATCCATTCATAAACAAACAGTTTAGGATATAGTTCTGCATTTTCTCAAAACTTCATTTTTCCCCACTGAGAACAGAAATTCTCTAAATGGGACAGGAAGATGTCTCAGAACCTGGGGTGGCCTTTGAACACAGGACAGAGGCCTGGGGACCAGAAATGCTCTCACCTGCTGCGGCTGGTACCTCTGCTGGGACTGGGAGGGCAGGTAGGGCGCCTGCGGGGGAAGGTGCGGAGGCTGTGGCTGCTGGTTGTAGTAAGGCTGCTGGCCCTGCTGGCAGTAACCGCTCACACCCTGCTGTCCGTACTGAGGTGGCATCTGTCAAGAGTCAAGATGGGCAAATGAGAGAAAGTCTAAACATGCAATTCAATAAAATCAAGTATGGTTTCGATTCAGCAACGTGAAGTGGGTTCTTTGCTAAGCAACTGAATTCAATATTTTTAACGTTCTCGCCATTAGATAAATTGGCCTACTGCCTTCTCCTCACATACTATCAATGAAGACAAAAGATAATTTAACTGTGCTTTAAAAAAAACTTTATCAGATATCAAATACTGATCATTTCACAAAAATCCAGAGGGGGTAAAAAGCTCCGAATACTGACATCAAAAAAATTGCTTCTGCCAAGTAAGTCAGAGAAAGATTATACTACCTAATCCATTCTCATGCAATACTCAAATGAAAATGAACTCCAGTTCAAGATCCCTTACTAATATTTTATAGGATGCTTGTGATTTGGGTATATGTTTGTTTCAACTAAGGTCAGAATGCTTCAATTACATTTTAGCAAATACCAGTTACATCAGCAATTCCATTTACTATTTTTGCTAAAAAATACAATAAAAGTACAAACAAGTACAATAAAATGAGACCCATTTTGAAAACAATACTATGTATATCAAACAACATAACTATCAGTATGAGCAAGATATTCATAGTTATACAAGAATAGTATTTTCCTAGTTGATACACAGTCAATGATGTAAAGAAAAGTGTCAAAGTGTTAGTCAATCAGTTGTATCCGACTCTTTGTGACCCCACAGACTACAGACCTCCAGGCTCCTCTGTCCATGGAGTTTTCCAGGGAAGAATATTGGAATGGGTTGCAATTCCATTCTCTAGGGGATCCTCCATACCCAGGAATGGAATGATTCTTTACCATCTGAGCTACCAGGGAAGCCCTTTTCTGCAAATACCCAAGATATAGACAGAATGACCTAAAATGGGTCTTCTCTATTTCTAGTTACATGAACCTAAAAAATATTGAAATTGTTCAAAGAAAAGTTCTTCCTCATGCAATAAATACACTATTGATGTTATTTTCTGATGTTCTATCAAATCAGAAATCTACTGACACATTTTTTTCCCCTAACTGAGAGAAAGAATAGGAGAGGAAAAGAAAAACAAGATACCGGAATGGCAAAAAGCACTCCTGGGAGGAGAACAGTGAAGTCACTGTTAATACCACAATATAGTTCATTTGAGAAATCCAAGAACTTCATCCCCATAAGCCTATAGACTTCTAAGAATTAAGTCATCAGTTCCAGATATACTTAAAAAACAAATTGACTACAGAATATTGAATGAGAGGGAAAAAGAGTAAGGAAGATATTAAACACTTTGCCTCTAAGACCAATTAGCACAGTAATTTGTAACATGTACTATGAAGTAAAAAGAAAAAATTGCAAAATGCTAAAGTTCATACTCCTTTTGACCCGATCTAGATTATTTTCAAACTTCTAGCAATGATGACAAAACATTTGGCCACAATGACTTACAAATGCTTCTCATCACACAGATCCTAAGTTACTAGAACAGACAAGTTTGTACTGAAAACCATTCAACAGCACAGTTGAATTCTTTGCTTTTATTTATTTTACAGCTTGATGTCTCATAATGAATGTATGTCCCTGCCATAAGCCAAGCCAAAGAATTTCCATAAAATACAACTCCACATGCTAGAATACCATATACTACCACAACACATATCCTTTCGTTCAACACCCATATGTTTGATTTGATATCTAATACTATATTTCACACGAGCATCTTTGCAGTTTGATTTGAAGCAGTTAGGGTAACACTTTGCCAGTGTTAAAATGACTGTAAAGCTCAGTCAACACAGCCAGCAACTCCCCTATGAATTGCACTTTAATATGTTGACTTTCTGGTTTACAGAAACCTTTACACACAATATGGAAGTGTTGTTTCAGGGCAGGGGGTGGGGGCCTCTATTTTCTAAGCAAGACAACAAGAGGACATATTGCAGGAGTCTCCTAACACTAGAGCAGCCATGAGCTTATTACTTTCTTTAACTACCTATCCCAACTCTGAAAAGCATGGAAGCAAGGCAGATGCAGGTGAAGCAGGTAGAATGGGTGGGGATGTAAGCAATTCCACAATGGATCTGTAGCAACCATCTGCTGACCCCAATAAACGTCAGGGGGAAAACCATCAAAAGCACCTGCTTGGGAGATTTTGTTGCTGTTTTCCTCAGTTAAAAATCTACTTGTTATCCTTTTAGATACACGGTCCCATTATGTGGTACTAACTAACTGGCATCTAACCCTCTGAGAGCCCTAGGATAACTTATAACATGGTACAGATGGGCTGTAAGACCTGGGGCCTAGAGCCAAGCAACTGCATGTGGCCCACTGTCCTCACAAGGGAGCCACAACCAAATAGAGACAAATAAATGCTTGTCTACCTACAGAATTTCTGTATTAGAAATGTATGAAACCTAAATCCAAGTCCTCCTATACTTTAGTTGTGTGAATATGATCAATCACATAATGATATCTGTCTTACATCTCCATTTGCAAAATGGGGCTACCTCTTCTATTGATTCATATTAATATTATAAGCAGTAATATTATAATTCTACCTGGAATTCTACATATATTCTATCATTAGTTGTTAAATTACAAGTTGTAGAGCTATCTCTAAGTACTAATTATTAACTGTTACCTTTAAAAACCAATTTCTAAATATAATACCTCAATTGTCAGGAACTAATGTCTTAATTTTTTAATGATCAATAATGTTTTTGCTTTAAATCAATTCAGATATAGGGCTTTCAAAAATCTATTAGATGTTTTTCTGACATTTTAAACCAATCATTGTTAAGAAACATAAACTGAAGAACGGAGCTGTAAGACAAGGAATGCCCCAGAGCCAACTCCAAAAGTTGTCTGACCAAAGCTCAGAATAACTCTGGCTCCACACAACCGGCTTCTCACATGCCATCAAGGCACTCAACCACTGCTTGTAACTCTGACTTCCATCTTTAACAGACTCTGCCGAGGACAGAGAAACCTACTATACTACACTGTCATGATGGCCTGAAGGACCAGTCCATGAGGGAAGTACATTTTACTGTCTCCAGTTTTCTGAAATCAATTTTGGCTACTGTGAGTCTTTATTATCTCTTACTTCATGAAAAAGCTGGCTTAAAGCTCAACATTCAAAAACCTAAGATCATGGTGTCCAAACCCATCACTTCATCGCAAATAGATGGGAAAAAGTGAAAGCAGTGACAGATTTTATTTTCTTGGGTTCCAAAATCACTGTGGACAGTGACTGCAGCCATGAAATTAAAACATGCTTGCTCCTTGGAAGGAAAGCTCTGACAAACCTGGACAGTGTATTAAAAAGCAAAGACATCACTTTGGCAACAAAGGTCTGTCTAGTCAAAGTGATGGTTTTTCCAGTAGTGATGTAGGGATATGAGAGCCGAACCATAAAGAAGGTCGAGTGCCAAAGAATTGATGCTTTCTAACTGTGGTGCTGGAGAAGACTCTTGAGAGTCACCTGGACTGTAAGGAGATCAAACCAGTCAATCCTAAAGGAAATCAACCTTGAATATTCATTGGAAGGACTCATACTGAAGGTGAAGATCCAGTAGTTTGGCCACCTAATGTGAAGAGCCAACTCACTGGAAAAGACATTGATGCAGGGAAAGATTGACGACAGGAGGAGAAGGGGACGAAAGGAGATGAGATGGTTGGATAGCATCACTGACTCAATGGCATGAGTTTGAGCAAATTCTGGGAGATGGTGAAGGACAGGGAAGCCTGGCGTGCTGCAGTCAGCCCATGGGGTTGCAAAGAGCTGGATATGACTCAGCAACTTAACAACAATGAAGATTACTGAACTGTTGGATTCAAGTGAAATTTAACCAAGAGTTACTGAGTTTCAGGAACTAAGCACTGAAAATTGGGGATACAAAGCACTTCTGTCTCAGATGCCGTTCGTTCCCTGACCGGCCTAAACCACCGTCATTCTCATGCCATTTCTGATTCTATTTTACCACAGGGGAGATTATTAGATTTAGTCAGCTGACCTTGATGTGTTCCTGTTTCTACTGTTTGTTCTCATCACTTGACTACACACTCCTATACCCATGCCATGCCTTCTGGAAGAGGGCCTGCCACTCAATAAATGGTTGTTGGATGAATAAATGAATGTCGTTCAATGGATTATTAAATAAAGTTAATATTACATAAAATTTTAAATTAAGGATGGAAAACATTATAAAACTGAAATCACTTGTACCATCCAAGTCTTTGATACACATATGCTCAACCTAGTCTAACAGACAAACACCCAAAACCTCAAACTGACAGCAGCGGAGTAGCCTTGACCATTACCAGCTAACTTTCTAGGGCATTACCACCCAGGAAATGTACTGGATATTTATCACTAAACTAAACCAAAAGGAAATCTCCAGAAAATGCCCAAGATGCCTATTTGTTATTTAAAGATAAGAAAAACAAAAATTTCTCTCATTTCTAAATAAAGAGGATTTTGAAGTGGAACATGAGTACGTGAGCATGCATGCTCAGTCATGCCCGACTCTTTGCAATCCTGTGGACTGCAGTCCGCCAGGCTCCTCTGTCTATGGGATTTTCCAGTCAAGAATATTGGCGTGGGTTGCCATTTCCTTTTCCAGCAACATGTACATACACAGTAACAAAAGTTATCCTAATTTTCAAAGAAATGTGAATGCTTCCAAACAGTATTAGAGAGCGAAAGTATAGCTAAAAATCATTCATTTACTATAAAGTATTTGTTTTAGGAAACTACTCTGATAAAGGATATGATTAATAACTTTCAAGTCTCTGGATCATGTTAAATGTGCAGAATTCCAGGCCCCATTTTTCATTTTACTCTGCTCATCCTTCAAAACTGAAGAAATAATAAGGTTTATATTCTCATCCTCTTCCTTCCTAAATAAGTTTGATAAAAGGGTCTCCCCACTAAGTTTCAAGGTGCACTTCCCTAAGACCCAGTAATTCACCTTGTAACTACATCCCCAT